AAAGGGCGTCCCTCAAATAAAATTATTTGAGGGATCCCTCAATAGAAGGGGACTGTATATATATATATATATATATATTAAAATTGTTTAGGATGATAACAACTTTTTATTTTTTGAATATCATCTATTAACAATTAATAATTACTATTGCCACAAAACAAGAAACAGTGTTATTATATCGCTGTTCGCTTAGACTCCAAAATCCGATGGTACACAAGAATGTCGGAATCGGGATTATGATTAATAGTTTCTGAAAGAATATTGTCACAAAATTTCTTGGATAACAAGCAATTCTAGATCAACAAGCTTTCTGCAATACTTTACAAACTAATGGTAGGGCCTTTCCATGGGAAATAGGTTACAACAAAAGGAATCAAACACTTCTTACAGTTACATGTTACATACTCAGTTTTGTTCACCAGTCAACACAACAAACAAAAGCTCCTACTTCTCGTTCCATCTCGGTCTTCGAAACCTCTTAAAAATGACCTAGTTGCAAGGTGCTCTGAAGCATATGTCATGAAAGATGCCAAAGCCAGGCCTCCCACGACCATCAAACCTAGCCTGTTAAATGTCATAATAACATAAATTGTTCTTAGCCCTCTTTTTGAATCATATTTTTCCTAAAGATGGAAAAGTGGCACAGGCAGGAGCAAATTACCTTAAAAATAGAGCAGTTATCCCAAAAAGACAAGGCAAAGATGGAGCAGCAATAGCCAGAAAAGCCATTCCTAGCCCATAACACAGTGTAGCACTAGCACATAAAGATTCTTGCCGTTGATGACCTATAACACATCCAAAAACCATCAACTAATTTAGTAAATAAATAAACAAAACAAACAAGGAACTAATTCGATGAAATTTGGTACATCAGCATTGGATTAACTCAAGCCAACTAACCTTTCCCAGAATCATAATCAACTGATTCAGGAACAGAGGACAAGGCTCCTGCTTGCACTGCCGTTCCCTTTCCCCACTGGTAAATTAGATGGAGATAACCTCCAAATAATATAAAGAAGATTGTGAATGTCCACTCATACATCATTAGTAAACCAGTCCATGGCATAACCTGTCGAGGCACAATTGCAAAAGCAAGAGCAAGGGCCACCAGGGCAGCCATGAAACAGACAACAATAGAGATCCCACCCAAATAAACAGGCACCTTGGTCTGCATCACATTAAAGGATTGTTTCACAGCATAAGTACAAACAAAAACTTTATAACGACCAAGTAACTTTGTAAAGTGCAGAAGATAGTCTATTTTATATAAGATAAGCTTGAAAGTGAAAGGAAATTGGACCAGTCCAACAAACACAACTGAGACATGGGATTTAACCTGATGGTTGGGATTAATGGAGGATGATGTAGAAACAACAGTATAATTAAGTGTCACCGCAGATCTAATCTTGTAGTAAAGGTGTTTGATTTGGTCATACAACGAGCCTCTACATAACGAGCCAAAGTACTCCTGTGACTGCACCAATATTCATATACCTTGATATTCAGAAAAAATAAATATATAATAAAATATATAATAAAAAAATTCTCAAAATTGGGCTAAAATGATCATGTACTTACTAACCTGAAGAAACGACCGGCAGTATCAACAAAAGTCATTGATTATATCCTCTCTGAATGCAAAAGTTACAATAAATATTTATACATAAAATATCAGATAACCACAAAGATATTTAAAATAATTCAAAGCAGTACCTGCCAGACATCGACTGGTTTCAAAAGCCAAGATGTCCACCAATCCCAAGGTTTAAGGGGACCAAGTGTATAGTGAATGACACGAAGTTCACTTTCATTTACCATCCACTGAAAGTGTAACGCACAAGCAGATTAAACAACTTAATAAGCATAACAAATACAAATCAATAGTACACTCCCATTTAGCCACTTCATATGGGTCATCACCTTATTGGTCAACAGGACAAACTAAAGAAAATTCTAGCAGTCCAAATTGTAGATATAAGACATCTTTACAGCTTGAATTGGAGTTCCATCTTCAACCATAAACATGGGTTCTGAGTAGCACGACAGAACTTGTGACATTTTTAGCAGTTTTGTAATCCAATTAGCTTCACAAACATCAATTAAAAGGTTTCTTTTATTACATCTTTAGACTCTTGTGTACACCTGCGTATACAAGAAAATGTGATAACCTCACTATTTTGTATTGAAAACCTAGCTTCTCCAATGCCAAATCTTATTCCTTAAGTGTATGCAATAGAAATATCATCTCATTCTATGGTACTTTACATTTGGGAGTGATTGTGCGGGCACTGATATCATACATGCCATTGAAAGCATTTAACTAGTCGACCAGCGTTAATAAGACAATTCAAACACCCATTCATACCCACCTTGTTTGCCAGCATATAAAGACCGACATCTGCATTATACAAAGTGGAAAGTCGCTCCATTGCAGGAACCGGTCTAGACTTCCGCACCTCTGCTGGTAAACTTGGCTCAAAAAGATGGGCATTGGGAAAGTCAGAATAATAGGAATTCAGAAACCCCTGGTCTCCTGTAATAAATAAAGCACATAAATGTTTAGAGAGCGAAATGACTATAATGGATCAATGCTTTCTCCCAATGATGCCACATGACTCAGAAACATATAATACACCTATCATAACGACCAAATTTACAATGGTAATTTAAGCATGTATTTGAGAATTTAACAAGTTTATAGAACTCATATCTAGCAACTCCTTTTGACAGACTTACATGTAAGTATCAGAAATCAGTGGAGCACTGACAACAACAATGCAATTTAATTTGATCTGAATTCAATATCTACAATAGTAACAGTTCTGGCATCATCATACCATAACCATAAAGTTTAACTAAATTCTGTGTCCTAAACATAAGCTTGACTTGGAAGCTCACACTTGGGTTTGACAATACATTTAAACTTCCCTCCAACAGTCAGAATAATATTTGTACAGATCAATTATCCATACCATATAAGCATTATGGTCTACATAAAACATACCCATTAGTACATACCTCACTGACATGCAGATGAATAAATAATTACGTTGAAGGAACGTACAGGCAGTGAGAAGTGATTAAAATTACATGCAGAGTTATTTTACCTCCAGTGTAAGAAGGCAAAGTGGACACTTGTCTCATCATATCGTTAAAAACAGTTTCAGATGGTTCCACTACCATCACTCCCGAGTTCAGCCTCTCAGAATGCTTCAAGTTAGCACAGAATTTGCTGCATTTGAAAAGATCCTCGATATTTTTGACAACAATAGTATCCGCATCAAGATATACAACTGCATAATGATATTCCACAGGAGATAAGAAACACAATCAGCTATCAGAGAAAAAGTGGGACAGACCCTAAAACAATCAAATACTGGAACGTAACAAGGTCTGTTTGACTTCTGATAATAAGCAATTGAAGATTTTTACCTTTCTTGTAGTTAGTCATGTTAAAAATTTTCAGCTTTGTGTAGACACCCCAGAACCTCGACGGCCGTACTTGATTGGGATTTGCCAATAAACTAATCTTCTCCACTATCCATCCATCAGCCTGCACAAATATTCACCAAAACAATCACGCTTACAATCAATCTGATGTAGGGGTATTTGCCGCAGCTGGAACTTTAATAGAATGAAAAATTGATTTTAGGTAAAGCAGAAAATTTTATCCTTTATTTTTCCTAAAATCACTTCACAATTCAGTTAATGCCAAAAACCTGATTGATACTCAATTAGCTAACTTGCCGCTCTGAAAAAAAGGAAAGTCCATAAACTCAACTAAGCCTAAGCTCAGTCACTTTCCTTAATTAGATAGAAATGGATTCTCCACAGCTCAATTTGCGCAAGTACCAAAAATAAAGAAACAAAAGAAGAGTAATAACCTCGAGAAGCTTCATGGCGTAATTGGAGACGCCGTCCGAGACCAGAGCCACCATGTCCTTGGTGGATCCAGTGTCCCGTATTGAATTGCCGAGGACTCGAACACCCAGTAGGAACTCATCTCCGTACAAGAGCGTGACATAAGCCTCCGTCGACGTCTGATGCCGGGAAGACGACGATTCAAACGCACCGTTTGGTCGAATCGTGGCAGCCAGCACAAGCGCTATTAACACAAACCACACCTTCAGTCTCATTATAAACATTCAATTTTATTATTTGAAGGTTTCTCGAGAAATTCAAAGAGTTGGGGATTGGGATTTTGTTGACAACACAAAACAGAGGTTTGATTTTGAATTTGGGCTTGCTTTCATTTTCATGCGTTGTGCTTGACGTCTCTGACCTGGCTCGGGAATAGTCTAACTTGTTTCAGAGTAGAATACGGATTCTCTGCAATGAGGCCTACCATAGTGTCATGTCGTAACCAATCAAGGGCATTGCCCTTCTCCTTCAAATCAGTCCTACAAGCCCAAATAGGAGTTTGATCAGGGCCGAGGAGACACTTGGCAATCCATTTTTCAATCAAAGCCCACTTACCCTTTAACTAAACAAGTTCGGAATCCGGGCCCATTATTTGCTTTTGTCCTTTTTTGGAAAGTATACCGTACACTTGAATATAGTAGTATTATGGGAAGTGAGATTTGATTAAAGTTTCAAGGGGCATTATAACTAATAAGCCAATATTATATTATGTTCTTTCAACATATTCAAAGCAGATAGTGAAGAGTGAGAAATTTCATAGTAAATCCATCTAAGAGTTCAATTTTTTATTTTTTATTTTTTTTGTGGGAATATTTGCCTTTGATATACCTCATTATCTCGAGTGCTACTAAATTCTGCTACTGCACACATTATATGTCGTAGAGAATTGCATGTTGAGTTGGAGTGGTCTTAGTAAAAAACGTGCATTTTACAGAGCCTTTATAAAAAACGAAAGTTTTATTAAAAAAAATTATATATGTACGTGTATAATACAAGTATTAAATTGGAAAATGCTAAATTTTTTATATGAGTAGTAACTCTGGAAAAAGTACAAAATCAAAAGGGAATAATAGAGACTTGGGTAATGGCATAATAGTAATGGAAAATGCTTTGAACTGCTCTTATCGATAAACAAAATTCAGGGGGAAAAAATAGAAAAGGACCAAGTATAGCCGCACGGCCGTACTATTAAAAAAAAATTCCAATCAGTCTCGAGTATAGCCGCACGGCTGTACTATTGAATAAAATTTTTTTAAAAAAGCACCGCGTACAGCCGACCGGCTATACTATTTATTTATTTATTTATATAGAAAAAGGTCGGCTGTACTATTTAATAAAAAAAATTAAAAAGTCCCGGGTATAGCCGCGCGGCTATACTATATATTTTTTAAAATCCCACGTTTAGCCGCGCGGCTATACGCTCTCTCTTTTTTAATAAATAGTATCGCCGCGCGGCTATACTCTGAGCTTCTTTTAAATTTTTTATTATTAAATAGTACAGCTCCGAGGCTATAATCGGGACTTTAAAAAAAAATTTATAAATAGTATAGAAGCCTGGCTATAACCGGGATTTTATTTTAATAGTACAGCCGCTCGGCTATACGTGGCCTTTAAAAAAAATATTTTTTTCCCCTAATTTTCAGTTATTAGTTTAAAGCATTTTCCATTATTATTAGGCCATTACCCAAGTCTCTATTGTCCCTTTTTGTTTTTTTTTTGTTTTCCAGAGTTAATACTCGTATAAAAAATTTAGAATTTTCTAGTTTAATACTTGTCTTATACACGTACGTATGTATTTTTTTGGTAGTACTTCCATTTTCCATACACGTCTTAAAGACTAGGTAAACTGTACATTTTTTTTACCCAGACCACACCAACTCAGCATTCAATTATCTATGGCAAATAATGTGTGCAGTAACATAATTTAGTAGCACTCAAGATAATGAGGTAGATCAAAGTCAAACATTCTCACCGAAAGAAAATAATAAAAAATTAAACTCTTAGATTGATTTACTATGAAATTTCTCACTCTTCACTCTCTGCTTTGGATATGTTGAAAGATCATAATATAATATAGGCTTATTAGTTATAATGCTCTTTGAAACTTTGGTCAAATCTCATATTGTAAACTCTCTAGTCTTTTGACTCTTGACTTATAGTGTGTATGTGAGAAATCTACTTTCAATATAATTTAAACTATCTTTTATATTATATTATGTTATGTATCGTTTTTATAATAGAGGTGAGACTTACTTATATTATGCTCTCACATATTTTTTAGTCTAAAGGTCGGTCGCCGGCAAAGCCACTAGAGAAGCCAGCACTACATAGAAAATCAGACAACCCCTAGTTAGTGGAATGAATATACAAGTACATGCAACATTGAGCAATAAACACTTTTAAATATGGAAAATGCTAGGCTTACCACATTTTTCATATCACAATTGTACCACCTCTCTAATAGAGATGGGCCCCATTGTATTGATGGGCTCCACCTCTATTAGAGAGGTGGTACAATTGTTGTATGAAAAATGTGATAAGCCTAGCATTACTCTTTGAATATAGCACAAATAGTATTACCTAATAAATATTTTTTTAATTTGCAGGCATAGTAATCCACCTCCATATCCACAGTGGGGGAATCTGAGCATCGAATACATGACTTTCGGCAAGGTAAAATTAATTACAAATTATTATTTAATTAGCTTAGGAAGGGACGTTAAGATTAAGACAAATCGAATCAATCTTACTCACTTTTAACCTTTACGTATTTGTTGTGCATAAACGACAGAAATATCATACGTGTTCAAGCAATTATTATTTGTCTCCATTTCCACTTCTTAATTTGTTCTTCATCATCTTCAACCGATCATTATGTGACAATAATCTTAAATAAAGTTTTTTTACAACCCCATTGCCGAAAATGTGTCCCTTTCTCATTCTCTCTGGTATATTTAGTCTCCAACATTATTTTTCTTTAAAAATTCTTGCCACTTTGGTGACCCAATCAAACATTTTTCAGACATTTAAAAATCAAAATCACTCACTGACGGAGTCTAGGTTAGCGGAATAAATCAGTGGTCTCATATTGAAATTCCCATGACACCTTGGTAATGTGTGTACAAAACCCCCCGATCTCTTATTGTAGTTTAGACTATTACTTATATTCAAAAAAATCAATTTCACTCTTCAATGGTTAGAAAGGGTAATGCAAACCCTTTGCTTATTTGTCGCTCTGATTAATATATACACATAACTTCAACAATTCGTGACAAAATTATTATGTATTTGTGGGGAGATTGGCCCATGTAGTGACCACTGTAATAAATATCATGATTTTATCTATGATTTGTAACCTTAGTCTACAAGTTAACTTACTTTACTATTCAGGAAAAGAAAGGGCCAACACTTTTACTTTTCCCCACTCTTCAATGAATCCAAAGATCATTCATCAAAAGGCAAATAAAATTATTAAAAAAAAGAAACCCTGATACTTTATTTCATGAAAAACTTTGAGATCAAAGGGTCAAAAGATTGGGGGGGGTCATCCCCCTCTTTCAAGAACGCTAAAAGAGAGCACCCCCTCATTGATGCCCACCAATAGATCAAAGACTAAAAGAGAGCACTATGATATATAAGTTCCTATTGAGAGACAGCAAGGACAAAGGTCAAACTTTTGTTCCAAAGATGTGGATTATTGGTGGCATAGATTCTTGGGATATTCATGACTCTTAGTAGTGGTCATTAGCATTATGATATCGTTGTTGTTAAATAAGAATGAACAAGAAAAAGGTAGAGATTGCATTGCCATAATGATATTTAAAGAGAAAAAAATGGTTGGGGCCTCCATTTTTTTGGCTGAATGGTGGTGAATTGGGCACCCAACAAATGCACCAACCAACTCATTATAAATTTAGAAAGAATACACACAGATGGAGGGCTTAGAGGAAATGAAGCTTTCTCATGAATGGACCCCACAAAAGTTGGTTCAGCTAAGATTCACAGTCTAATTTAAAAGCTTCTCTGCCTATGGGATGGGACATATCTCCTGTACGATTTTACCAATAAGAGTTTTGTAGGTCTTCATCTATCAGATTTGTAGTTCATTTATATATACAATATTATTTATAAGTGATATGCTATTTTATTTTTATCCTTACCCTTTGGGACTGTCATACCAAGCAAGAACTAAGAAACTCTCTCTCTCTCTCTCTCTCTCTCTCTCGCTATGTATTCTATATATATACCAACAAGTCCACAAGAAATAGAAAGTAGCAAGAATTTAAATTTTGGTTTGTTGAAGCAAAAGCACAGGAAGAGGATCATGATCATGCCACTTAGAGAGATCGACGAGCACAAGAATTCAACAGAAGCTGTGGCTGTGGAGGAGCCATGCATGTCCAGAGAGGCTGATCTTCATCATCAGCTTCCATGGAAATGGAATTAAAAATGGTTAGACCTACGGCTTTCAGATGAGTTCTACTGCTCTCAATTAGCAAGAAATACAAGGAGGCAACCAAAGCAAAAGGGGTTGAAGAAAAAGATGTAACCCGGCAAGTCTGGTTCTTGGCTCATATTTACTTTTACTTTACTTGTTCGCTTCTTAATTATTTCTTTCTTCTGCTGTGCTGTTCCTCCCTCCCCCCCAATATGGGATCGAAACTCTGACTTTATATCTTGTTATTAATTTCATTTAGTGGAACTATGAATTAGCCCTTATTAATAACTTTGAGTTGTAATTTGTTGTTAGCTTTTCCAGTGTAATAATTTCTTTCTTCTTTTACTAGTGGTCATCGATTCGTATTTTGAATGATTTGCTTGCTTCTATAAAACCCAGGTTAGATTAATGCTATATATAAATAATAATTTCTGGCATACCCGAGTTCGAATTCCCCTCCACATAGTTTAGGGTTCGTTTGGAAGTGATTTTGGCCTACCAAGAATCACTCCCAAACGAGCCCGATTAGATTAAAGTAGAATATCATTTGTATTAAAATAAAAAAATTCCAACTTTGCTGCATTAATTGGTTACATTCAGTTCAATTGAATTACAAGTCTTATATTATATACTCTGCAAAATGTGAACTCATCTGTGGCGCTTAATATATATACTCACAAAATAGCATAGACAAGATAGGGTTGGTTTACATGTACAAGGTTGTTTCTAGTTTTGATCTCTTCCTTTCTTTGGGGACTCAGTTCCAAGGATTTGGGATGATTATGGAATTTAATACGTAAATTTCAAACTAAGCAACTAATAATTTGGTAATCCTGTTTGCTTCACGGAATTATATAATGTGCTTTTCTTGATAAAAGCACATTAAGGATTGCATGCAAATGAGGACAATCTTTATCC